AAATCTGGATGCCTGCATGGCATTGTGGGAACGCCGCCAAAGTAGCTATGTTCATCGTGCCTGGCAGCAAGGAAGCTCTCACTCTCCAGGCGAATTCTGACTCTCCTCTTCACAACTTACAGTTCTAAGACTGATGGAAGTGGAGCTGAAGACGAATTCTATGGTATTGAACCATATGGTGGATTGATGCCATGTCATACAATGGTATCATATGGTACAGTGTGCCATATGGCACATTGTACCATATGGTACATTATACCATATGGTACATTATACCATATGGTACATTATACCATATGGTACATTATACCATATGGTACATTGTACCATATAGTACAGGGTACAGGGATCCTAATGCAAATAAGTCTGACTTTTTTGAGTTATCCTAGGTTCTCCAAACATACGCTGCTAAGTATGATATTCTATGTAACTTTATTTGTGTATACCTAAATAAACTTACTTACGATGCCACATGCACTTGAGTAAGTTTATTCAGGTGTACAGAAATACATTTACATAGATTATCACACATAGCAGCATATGTATAAAATCCTAGGATAACCCAAAAAAGTCAGGGCGACTTATTTCCATAGGGATCCTTGTATCTGTACCATATGGTGTTCTGTACTGTATGGTACCCTGTACCATATGGTACCCTATGCCATATGGTACCCTGTACCATATGGTACCCTATGCCATATGGTACCCTGTGCCATATGGTACCCTGTGCCATATGGTCCCCTGTGCCATATGGTCCCCTGTACCATATGGTACCCTGTGCCATATGGTACCCTGCTCAATATGGTACCTTGCACCATATGTTTTCCTGTACTGCATGGTACCTTATACCATATAGTACAATGTACCATATGGCACCCTGTAACATATGATACCGTGTACCATATGGTCAATAGGTGGTGTTGGTGGCAGGAGACTCCACACCTAATTTCCACACTACGAATTCTCTTCATAATATTTACACCACACATTGCCCTTAGACACGACATCTCCATTGCCTCCAGCCTCCTCCTTGCTGCTGCATTTACAATTCATGCTTCACACCCATATGAGAGTGTTGATACCATTATACTCTAATACATTCCCTTCTTTGCCTCCATGGATTTCGTTTTTTGTCTCCACAGAAACCTCAATGCACCACTCACCTTTTTTCCTTCATCAATTTCATGGTTAACCTCATCCTTCATAAACCCATCTGTTGACAAGTCAACTTCCAAATATCTGAACACATTCATTTCTTCCATACTCCCTCCCTCCAGTGTCATATCCAATTTTTGTAACTCACATTTAGTGAGTGAGGAAAAAATGCTTTGCATTTTGAAGTTTTTCAGGTCAAGGGTCACAGAAAAGTGAATGTTTTGTGATGATCTCTGAGGTCAAAAATAGTCTAGATAAATGTTTTACAGCTACTCTTTAGCTTCAAAATGGTATGTGTATCATCTCTGTAAGTACCATACAAGCGGAGATACTATTTCATTTCAAAATTTCGCGTGACCTGCCATTTTTTTTTTTTTTTTTTTTGTCAAAGTTCCGTGACCTGTATCTCCGGAATAGTCTGACCTACAGATTTGAGACAAAATCCAATCTCATATGCTCAATGAAATCCAAAAGTGCGAATTCTGAGGCCTGGTCTCAGTCTGGGCAGCAGGGGTGTTGACCCCCGGAACTCTGTCCAGGTAAACTCCAGGTAAAGCCAGAGAGGTGCAGTGAAATGACCTGGTTGAAGAGACATGGAATGTCCCTGATCAGTGCCTAAAGTAGGTACAGTGGAACCTTAACTTACGAGTTTAATCTGTTCCAGGAGCTAGCTCGTAACTCAATTTACTCGTATATCAGATTAATTTTCCTCATTTAAATTAATTGAAAAGCCAAAAATTCGTTCCTGCACTCTGGAGAGACGAGAAAAAATACTTGAATATGACGCTGTTATCAACTGTACGGCTTATTTATCTATCACAATTCATCTAATATGCATAATAAACAATATAATTAACACAGAACATGATATATACTCTAGAATGAATAAAATAGGCCATAATATGGTGGCAGAGGCAGCAGCAGAAGCATCTGCCATTTCTGTCCCAATTTGACTATAGTATCTTCCCATGTTCTTACTGTAAGAGAAAATGGAGTATTTTTGAGGCTAACTGCAATAGATCACTAGGACCCATGGTTAGAAAAAAGAAATTTGGCTAAATGACTGTAAAATAATGCAAACAAGCATGTGAGAACTGCCCCCACAGGGATGTAAACATGTTTACTGCTTACCAGCTGTGGTATCAGCTGTGCCAGCTAGCAGAAGCAATCTGCATTATTGTTACGTATGTATTATGCATTATTATTATTAATTTAGAGAACTGAAGCTCAGTCATTATAATAATTATTATTATTATTAATTTAGGGAACTGAAGCTCTATCGTTATAATAATAATAATAATAATAATATTAGTAGTAGTATTTTATGTATTATTATAATTGTTGTTGTTATTAATTTAGGGAACTGAAGCTCTATCATTATTATTATTATTATTTATTATTATTATTATTATTATTATTATTATTATTATTATTATTATTAATTTAGGGAACTGAAGCTCTGTCGTTATTATAATAATACAGTAGACCGCCATTGAAGAATTGCTGCACAATTTTATGTAACACGTTGTATAATTAATTTAACATGGTTCAGTTTGTGGGAAAGAAAAAACAAATTCTCTTTTGCTCAAGTGGCCGCCTTGATGTGGAGCAGACGGAGAGCCCCCCCTACCACTCCCCGACACCTCCCCACCATCCCTTACCACTCCCCGACACCACCCCCACCATCCCCTACCACTCCTCGACACCACTCCACCATCCCCTACCACTCCCCGACACCACCCCCACCTTCCCTTACCACTCCGCGACACCTCCCCGACACCTCCTCACCATCCCAGCATTCGTAATTCATACGTGTCCAGTCTTTCTCTGCTACAAGGCAGCTGTGTTTGTCAATTGTGTTATGATATTTTAATTAATATATCTTGTATCTGCCAAGTAATCATGACACCCAGTAGCCATACTAGTGTTGCTGAAAGTGACACGAAGAGGTATAAGCACTTAAGTCTTAGAATTAACAAAGATGTTAGAAAAGAGATAACCTGAAGCCATAACTGAAGTGTTACTTTGTACACAGAAAAAGAGGTTAACATGAGTTTGTGTGACTGACTGACTGAACTGACTGACTGACGGAATGACTTGACTGACTTACTGAATGACTTGACTGACTTACTGAGTGACTTGACTGACTTATTGAGTGACTTGACTGACTTAATGAGTGACTTTACTGTAATAATATTATATTATTATTATTGCTGAGAAGAAAAAGAGAATGATTTCCATGGAATTAAAGCATGAAATCATAGATAAACAAGCGAGGTGTCCAGGTTTTGGGTTGAGGGGGAAGAGGGAGGGGGGAGCTGGCTCGTAACTCAGAGCAAAAAATCAACCCAGGAACGGCTCGTATCTCAAAAAACTCATAAGCTGGGACACTTGTAAGTCAAGGTTCCACTGTTTTCATGTACAGTGGTACCTCGAATTTCAGCTGTAATTCGTTCCAGAAGGCTGTTCAAGTGCCGTTACTAAGCAAATTTTTTCCCATAAGGAATAATGTAAATTAGATTAGTCCGTTTCAGTCCCCCAAAAATACACTTACGAAAGCACTTACAGTAATACACTTAAATAATTGTTCAAGTTGGGAGCTCTTCGAAATTCGAGGTACCACTGTATTTTGGCTATAACCATAAGTGAAAGTTTTAAAAGTTAATATCCAGATGGTATTATATTAACCCTTTCAGGGTTTCTGACGTACTAGTATGGCTTACGCACCAGGGTTATTGACGTACTAGAACGCCTAAATTCTAGCGCCTTCAAATCTAGTGAGACAAAGCTCGTAGGCCTACATATGAAAGACTGGGTCTATGTGGTCAGTGTGAACAATATAAAAAAATCCGGCAGCACATAGTGCATAATGAGAAAAAAAAAACTACGTCCATGTTTTTGGTTTAAAACAGCGACTTTGCAGTGTATTTTCGTACAGTATTTATGGTTGTATTCTAGTTTTCCTGGTCTCATTTTATAGAATGGAAGACATATTACAGAAATTGAGATGGTTTTGATTGGTTTCACAATGAAAAGTACCTTGAAATTGAGCTCACAGTAGCAGAAATGTTTGATTTTTACCAAATTTCAAAAGTAAACAAATCATGCCAAGCTTGCAATACACGTTAACTGGCGAGTCTAATATTCTTCCACGAGTGCACTGACATTATTTATACCATTTCTACACCATTTGTATACTAATGCAGTAGTTTGCATAACAGTAAATCTTTTATTTTTTGTGAGAATAAAAATTCAAAGTGGAAAGCAAAACAGATGTAAGAGGGGCCTGGGGACATGACTAATGAACAGAGAAAATGTTATTTTAGTGTCAGGAATGTCTGTCTTGCATATTCTGGACCCTATTTCGAAATTGGCATCTTGTGAAATTGGCAAAATTGCTAATTTCTGACCACTTTATTGGATAATTGAAATTGGTAAATGGGTGGTTTCTTGTACTCATTCGATAGAGAAAATAGAGTTTTAACGAAATAGATATGATTTTTGTCGACGAGTACACTGAAATTGGCCGAAAATAGGGCTCAAAGTGAGCAAAATCGCCGATGCGTGAACATCGTCGAGACCGCTAACTTTGCAAGAGCATAATTCCATAAGTTTTCCATCAAATTTCATACTTTTGGTGTCATTATGATGGGAAAAAGTTTCTCTATCATTTCATAAGAAAAAAATAATTTTTTTTTTCCCAAAAATTTTCGACCCTGAGAACAAGTTAGGAGAGGGCCTCTCGAGCCTGAAAGGGTTAAGAAGTAAAATTTATTTGTATAACATTTATTTCTCCAATTTTTTATATTTTTATGTTATTAATGTCTTATGATATTTTTCTTCAGCGATTACAGTAATGAGGAAGAACGACAACTGCAGTTACTAGCACAAGGCATTTTACTGCAAGCTGTGAGGGAAGACGATGCTGCCCTCAGACACACTGTCCTTAATTTCTGGCTTCAAGGTTAGTAATATCAGTTATAAATTGTAACAGTACATGAAGTATACCATACGCTGTACAGCCTCTCCTCACTTAGCGATGTTTTTCATTTACCGATGACTCGGACTTGAAATGGGCTCTCTGACCAGTATGCATAACTAAATAATGTATATGAGAGCTGATTTCCTCTGTTCTGTTTAATACAATACAGTGGATCCTCGGCTTACGATATTAATCCGTTCCAGAGAGCTCATAGATGAAATTATCATTAACTAAATTAATTTTCCCCATAAGAAATAATGGAAATCCAATTAATGCATTCCAGACAGCCAAAAGTATTACAATTTTTTATTTTTTTTTTCATGATATATACATTTCCCTACAAAGGAAACAATGAGACATGCACAATAACTATATAAATAAATGTTACAATGACACTTACCTTTGTTGAAGAGTGTTGATGAGTGATGAGTGATCTGGGATTTTCAGAGTGATACATTAGTTAAGGCTTCACTTTACAATCCCCACTAGCATTACAACAAAACAAGAAAGTTAGCCCGTCTTTCATAGGCTTGTGTCCTGGGAGTGTCTTTTCCTCCTGAGCAATGTAGGTCCTGTTTGGCATTTTATTCCAGAACAAGCCTTCTTTTGTCACAATTGAACACTTGTTGGGGTTGGAATTTTTCAGCTTCACCATGGTGTATGCCACTATGATTCTTAAATCTCTCAAACCAGCCTTTGCTGGCCTTAAATTCACCAATATGAGCACTAGTTCCAGACTTTTTTTTTCCTGTTCACCTGGGTGTTAATCGATTGGTGTGGGTCACATCCTGGGGGACAAGATTAAGGACCCCAATGGAAATAAGTTAGACTGTCCTCGAGGACTCATTGACTTTCTTGGGTTAACCTGGGTGGCTAACCTTCTGGGGTTAATTGTTTCTCGTTAAGCCACACCAACAACACTCTCTCCACATCTTCGAGTAGTACAGCTGATGGTGGTGCAGCAGCAGCTGACTGTGGTACAGCAGCAGCAGCAGCTGACCGTGGTACAGCAGCAGCAGCAGCTGACCGTGGTACAGCAGCAGCTGACAGTGGTGCAGTAGCAGCTGACCATAGTACAGCAGCAGTTTACCATGGTACAGCAGCAGCTGACCATGGTACAGCAGCAGCAGCAGCAGCAGCTGACCATGGTACAGCAGCAGCAGCAGCTGACTGTGGTATGATAGTATTTCAATAGTATTGCTCACCCTTTTTACCACAGGGTTGGCACTAGAAGCTTTCTTTGGGCCCATGGTGGCTTATTTAGCAGTTACAAGCACTAAAAAAATGGATTAATACAAAATGTATCGATTGTATGCATGGAACCAGCCACCATGGCTTGTAAACAATGATGGTAGGGCAGCTCAGGCTAGACAGACAGGTTCGGGATAAATCATGTTGGGCAAGTTTTTCGTCATTGGCCGGGCCAAAATTTTTACGCTCAAATGCTTCGTTAGGCAGATTTAACATTAGACGATGCTTTCATTAGCCGAGGGTCCACTGTACAGCCTCTCCTCTCTTACCAATGTGCAGTGGTACTTTGACTTACGAGTGTAATTCGTTCCATGGCTGAGCTCGTAACTCAATTTGCTCGTATATCAAATCAGTTTTCCTCATTGAAATGCCAGTAATCTGTTCCAGCCTCCAAAATAAACCCCAGTTTTTTGTTATGGGTTTTTAAATGAGAATAATTTTTTTTTTTTTTCAACAAACTGGCCGCATCCCACCGAGGCAGGGTGGCCCAAAAAGAAAAACAAAAGTTTCTCTTTTTAAATTTAAGAATCCATACAGGAGAAGGGGTTACTATCCCCTTGCTCCCGGCATTTTAGTCGCCTCTTACAACATGCATGGCTTACGGAGGAAGAATTCTGTTCCACTTCCCCAAGAAGGTAAGAGGAAATAAACAAGAACAAGAACTAGAAAGAAAATAGAAGAAAACCCAGAGGGGTGTGTATATATATACTTGTACATGTATCTGAAGTGTGATGTAAGTGTAAGTAGAAGTAGCAAGACATACCCAAAATCTTGCATGTTTATGAGACAGAAAAAAGACACCAGCAATCCTACCATCATGTAAAACAATTACAGGTTTCCGTTTTACACTCACTTGGCAGAACAGTAGTACCTCCCTGGGTGGTTGCTGTCTACCAACCTACCTGGAGTTTACCTGGAGAGAGTTCCGGGGGTCAACGCCCCCGCGGCCCGGTCTGTGACCAGGCCTCCTGGTGGATCAGAGCCTGATCAACCAGGCTGTTGCTGCTGGCTGCACGCAAACCAACGTACGAGCCACAGCCCGGCTGATCCGGAACTGACTTTAGGTGCTTGTCCAGTGCCAGCTTGAAGACTGCCAGGGGTCTGTTGGTAATCCCCCTTATGTGTGCTGGGAGGCAGTTGAACAGTCTCGGGCCCCTGACACTTATTGTATGGTCTCTTAACGTGCTAGTGACACCCCTGCTTTTCATTGGGGGGATGGGTGCATCGTCTGCCAAGTCTTTTGCTTTCGTATGAGTGATTTTCGTGTGCAAGTTCGGTACTAGTCCCTCTAGGATTTTCCAGGTGTATATAATCTGTATCTCTCCCCCCCTGCGTTTCCCGGGAATACAGGTTTAGGAACCTCAAGCGCTCCCAATAATTGAGGTGTTTTATCTCCGTTATGCGCGCCGTGAAATTCTCTGTACATTTTCTAGGTAGGCAATTTACCTGCCTTGAAAGGTGCTGTTAGTGTGCAGCAATATTCCAGCCTAGATAGAACAAGTGACCTGAAGAGTGTCATCATGGGCTTGGCCTCCCTAGTTTTGAAGGTTCTCATTATCCATCCTGTCATTTTTCTAGCAGATGCGATTGAAACAATGTTATGGTCCTTGAAGGTGAGATTCTCCGACATGATCACTCCCAGTCTTTGACGTTTGTGTTTTAGCTCTATTTTGTGCCAGAATTTGTTTTGTACTCTGATGACGATTTAATTTCCTCATGTTTACCATATCTGAGTAATTGAAATTTCTCACGTTGAACTTCATATTTTTTTCTGCAGCCCAAATGAAAGATTTGGTTTATGTCCGCCTGGGCTTTTTCAGTGTCTGCAATGGAAGGGCACTGTCATGCAGATTCGGTGTTTATCTGCAAAGGAAGACACGGTGCTGTGGCTGACATCCTTGTCTATGTCGGATATGAGGATGAGGAACAAGATGGGAGCGAGTACTGTGCCTTGTGGAACAGAGCTTTTCAACCGTAGCTGCCTCGGACTTTACTCTGTTGACGACTACTCTCTGTGTTCTGTTAGTGAGGAAATTATAGATCCACCGACCGACTTTTCCTGTTATTCCTTTAGCACGCATTTTGTGCGCTATTACGCCATGGTCACACTTGTCGAAGGCTTTTGCAAGTCTGTATATATTACATCTGCATTCTTTTTGTCTTCTAGTGCATTTAGGACCTTGTCGTAGTGATCCAATAGTTGAGACAGACAGGAGCGACCTGTTCTAAACCCATGTTGCCCTGGGTTGTGTAACTGATGGGTTTCTAGATGGGTGGTGATCTTGCTTCTTAGGACCCTTTCAAAGATTTTTATGATATGGGATGTTAGTGCTATTGGTCTGTAGTTCTTTGCTGTTGCTTTACTGCCCCTTTGTGGAGTGGGGCTATGTCTGTTGTTTTTAGTAACTGTGGGACGACCCCCGTGTCCATGCTCCCTTCTCATAGGATGGAAAAGGCTCGTGATAGGGCTTCTTGCAGTTCTTGATGAACACAGAGTTCCATGAGTCTGGCCCTGGGCAGAGTGCATGGGCATGTCATTTATCGCCTGTTCGAAGTCATTTGGCGTCAGGATAACATCGGATAGGCTTGTGTTAATCAAATTTTGTGGCTCTCTCATAAAAAATTCATTTTGATCTTCGACTCTCAGTCTGGTTAGCGGCTTGCTAAAAACTGAGTCATATTGGGACTTGAGTAGCTCACTCATTTCCTTGCTGTCATCTGTGTAGGACCCATCTTGTTTAAGTAGGGGCCCAATACTGGACGTTGTTCTCGATTTTTGGTTTGGCATAGGAGAAGAAATACTTTGGGTTTCTTTCGATTTCATTTATGGCTTTTAGTTCTTCCCGCGATTCCTGACTCCTAAAGGATTCTTTAGCTTAAGTTCGATGCTTGCTATTTCTCTGACCAGTGTCTCCCTACGCAATTCAGATATATTGACCTCTTTTAGGCCGCTCTGTTATTCTTTTCCGTCGCTGTAAAGGGAGCGCCTGTCTCTTTCTGTTTTACATCTACTCCTCCTTTTTCTTAGAGGAATAAGCCTTGTGCATACATCGAGTGCCACCGAGTTAATCTGTTCTAGGCATAAGTTGGGGTCTTGTTGCTTAGTATATCTTCCCAGCTTATATCAGTTAGGACTTAGTTTACTTGGTCCCACTTTATGTTTTTGTTATTGAAGTTGAATTTGGTGAATGCTCCCTCGTGACTAATCTCATTATGTCGGTCTGGGGCTCCGCGCATACATGACTGAACCTCAATTATGTTGTGATCTGAGTATTGTTTTTGATATGGTGACATTTCTTATCAGATCATCATTGTTAGTGAAGATGAGGTCTAGTGTATTCTCCAGTCTAGTAGGCTCTATTATTTGCTGGTTTAAATTGAATTTTGTGCAGAGATTTAAAAGCTCGCGTGAGTGTGAGTTTTCATCAGAGCTGCCTCCTGGTGTTATTACTGCAACAATATTATTTGCTATATTCCTCCATTTTAGGTGCCTTAAGTTGAAATCCCCCAGGAGCAAGATGTTGGGTGCAGGAGGGGGAAGGTTTTCCAGACAGTGGAAATTTTTTAAAACACTGTTCCTACAAAAATGTCAGGTACCATCTGTTTTTCGACCAAGTTTGGGTTTTCTGACCAACAGGTGTAATTTAAAAAAATGGACAAAGTCAAAACCTTTAAAAAATTCGGAATTTTGGGGTAGGGATAAGTCAAAAATTTCCCTATGAAAATCCCTA